AAAAGGGCATTTTTTTAACGTCTTCTGTATTATCTTTATTTATTACATATCATGTTCTTCGCACTTAAACCATAAAACTCCATTCAACAGCAATATCTCAAAATAATTTTAAAATGAGCCTATCTTTAGAATTTCCGATACAAAATCTCACGCGCTGGAGATAAAAAAATTTTTTTTTCTAAGCGAGCAATGCTCAATGTTGCCATTGCTCGCTTTGAAATCGTTAAGTTTTTAATCGAAATTCGTAAAAGTGTTACAAAATATGAAATCGGTAATAAACAAATTCCAAATTTGTGGTTCCAGCTGCCCATATTCGCAGTAGGATTACGTTATTCAAAATTGGATGGCTCTAGGTACCGTTGTTTTTTTTTTTTTTTTTTTTCACAATGATGGAAACGTATATACATTTATGCAGATTCTTCATTACTTAATTTTTTTTAATATAATACAGGACTGTAATATTTGGTGGCAACAATTTGAAACGTGAATCAACGCATAAAGTGAATCAACGGAAAATGTCAAAACGAAATTAATAAGTTCGTCTGAGCTAAACGATCTAGCATGTGAGCTTCTTGATCATCATCAACGTTAAACGGTAGATCAACAATACTCAATTCTAATTTCTACGACTTCGCAAGTATTTTGCGGTTTTATAAGGTTGCTTATGCTCACTTGTCTGACGTAATCAGCCCAAGTCCATGGACCTTATAAGAAATAGACTAACCCAGTGGGCGGGGCGCGCGTCACCGACATGTCGACAAGAAAGAGTAGGGACGATCTGGTTTACTTTAACATTGAAACCTATGGCGTTTGTATCCCATAACTCTTTTTAATTATTAAATGTGATACGTTGTATAGTGATGAGATTATGAAAGCTACAGTTTTTTCCAAATAGGATTTAATATATCTCATTAAAGCACTTTTTACTGCATTTCGCGCATTTTTTTCACGCGTAATTCTTGTACAAACATCTTTACTTTGGTAAAACGGTAAAAACTCTAAACACAAAATTTATAAACTTAATTTTGCGTAAAAATAAAGTAAAATTAAATAAGATTGATAGTACGTGATGCTTTGAAATAAATAAGTAAAATTAAACAAGATCTGATAATTTTTTTTTAAAAAAATTAATGAAAATTTTCAGGCAGTGATTTTCAAACAATAATAACATTACAAAACGATCATATTTATTTGATTATAGGATCATTAAATTATTAACATTAAAGTGGATTAGTTATTTTAATAATTCATAAAATTCGGAGCATAAAAGTTTCTAAGCGTAATGAAAGGGAAAAAAAAGATAAAATAAAATCCAGAAGCACTCAAATTTTATATTACGCCCAAAAAGGAACCTTTGTTCCTTTTTGGGCGTAATATAAAATTTTTTGGGCGTAATTTAAAATTTTTTAAAGTTTTGTGTGTTACCTATATTTATTGAATATCATGTTCTTCGCCCGTAAACCAAATACATTTGAAAACAGCATATCTTTAGAATTTCCGCACTGGAGATAAAACTAATATTTTCCGTACAGTGCTCGCTCTGAAGTCGTTGAGTTTGTTAATCAAAAATTCGTTAAAGTTTTACAAAATATGAAATAGATTAAAATAAATTCGAAATTCGGCCATCCAGATTCGGTTGGAGGTTTACATTATTCAAAATTTGATGGCTCTAGATCAGTGCTCCGCAACCGGTGTGCCGCGGCTCACTGGTGTGCCATGAGTAGGATATAGGTGTGCCGCAATCAAATACATGTATTTGACATTTTGCAATTTTTTATCATGTATTTAATACACAATGACTTTTTTTTCCTTAATAATGTCTATTTAAATGTTTTTATATATTTCACTGTTGTGTGGTTGTGTGTGTGATTGTAAGTGTGTCAGCATTTGAATTTTTTCGGCACTTCCTTGATAACTCGGAACTCTTTGGTGTGCCACGAAATTCCAGAAAGATTTTTTGTGCGTCGCAGGTGAGAAAAGGTTGCGGAGCACTGCTCTAGATACTGTCGCTTTTGTCACAGTGCGAGAAACATACATGTATTCATGCAGATTCTTCATTATTTAATTTCTTTACATATAATACAGGGCGATAATATTTGGTAACAACAATTTGCAAGGAGACACGGACACTCATAGTAAAACAGCGCAAAATTCCGCTTCGAAACTAACAGCCAGGCGATCGCCGCTTTGGTTTAATGAATTAAATTAACAGTAAATAAAAAAAAAACCTTAATCAGAACTAAAAATAAATTTTAAAAAATAGTCACTATAAAATGCAAGCAAAATTAATTATTACGGTTAAATACAATTTTAATATTAGAATTAAATGTATAAAAATTTTTAAGGCGTCAAAAGTGTTTAGCACTATGATGTATTATGAAAGATAATTGAAATAAAATTCCCTTATAGAAATTGTGCTATAATACTCATCTGTAATTTTAAAAAAGCAGCACAATTTAGAATTTTAAACAAAACTTTCAAAAACTAGTTTTTAAATGTTTTAGTACTTTTTACTTATTTACACCCATAAAAAGCATTGCTTGTTTGAAATTTTCTATTAGTTCAGATTTAAAATATTATTTTCTAAAAGAAGTAGTTACAAATTTCCTTACAGCATAGGAAAAGCTAAAAAAATATCCAGCCCTGAAAGCATGGAATAGCTTTATAATTATTTGGAACGTTAATTATGCTTGATAAATATGCTAAAGTTTTAAAATCAATCTCAATTTCAAAAATAAAAATATATAGAAATTCTAATTTGTGAAAATGAAGCGCTACATACAGCTTTTTCTTGATAATTATACACACTGCAATAGCCAACCAATGTTAAATTTCTGCAAATCGTCCCTACTCCTCCGGATGTGATCAAGGTGACAGCCGGCAACGCCTCAGACGAGGGAGAAAACCCGTTTGGGTTAGTCTATTTCTTATAAGGTCCATGCCCAAGCCACGAAATTCCTCGTGGCAAAGAGCGTTAGATTACGCGTGCCGTTGGCAACAGCCTTGATCACCATTCAGGTGACAGTGTGATTTAGCTCAGTTCCGCCCGCCACTTTTGATGAATAATACTTAAACGAGCGAGAGAACACCCTCTTTCCTTTCACTAAATCACGTGTAAAGCTCGCCGCATATTTAGAGTGCCGCCATGTCGCACTGACACTATACATTTACAAACACCCATGCCTTCTCCGGGATTCGAACCCTGGCCCTTCGGCACGGCAGTCAGCGACGCTAACCGCTATACCGTTTGGGCGGCGGTTTTATAAGGTTCATCTCATAATCATCAAGTAAGCCAAGCAGTCCTTTGTAACAGCAATATCGTTTGCTAAGCTGAACATCTGGCCATAGAAACAGCAGAGTTGTTGGTAGCCGGAGAATCACCACCATACAGAAGCTAATTTTAAGCATCAGGGACATTACACAAATCTATCATGCATCCATAAACAGTCTAGCTCGACGTATCTATCACGATATATCTATCACATGAAACTTTAAATTAAATGGATAAAAGCTGGCGTCCGAATCTTCTGCAGCAAAATATCCGACCATTTGGTTAATTATGCAGCCGAGAACGAAACATCTCGTTGCGTACATTTTTTCAAGTCATCTTAATAATTTAAATAATAATTTAAATTGTTAAAAAATAATTAAAATCTGAAGGTTTTCAGATTTTATATTAAGCCCAAAGGGACGTTTTTTAACGTTTTCTGTTCTACCTTTATTTATTAAATATTATGTTCTTCGCACTTAGACCATGAAATTCTATTCAACAGCAATATCTCAAAACAATTTAAAAAGAGCGTATCTTTAGAATTTCCGATACACAGGCTCGCGTGCTGGAGATTAAAATGTTTTTTTCACGTACAGTGTTGCCATTGCTGGCTTTGAAATCGTTGAGTCTGTTAATCAAAAATTAGTTAAAGTTTTACAAAATATAAAATAGATAATAAAACAAAATCTAAGTTTCGGCTTCCAGATGCGCACATTCAAGTGGAGGACTACGTTACTCAAAATTTGATGTTTCTAGGTACTGTTGTTTTTTCACAGTGCGAGGAACATACATACATTCATGCAGCTTCTTCATTATTTAATTTCTTTCAATATAATGCAGGGCTCTCATATTTGGTGGCAACAATTTGAAAAGTTAAATGCCGTTTATAGTGAACCAACGTAAAATGTCAAAACGAAATTAACATCCCTCCTGGGCAAATTGCCAAAACGTTTTGGGCTAATAATATGATTTAAACGCTGTATTTTGAGAAAAAAATACACAAATATATTTCCTATGTATTCTTAAAACAAAAGTTAAGGAATAAGTGATAAATTATCTTAATATATTTTTTAAATTACAGGCTAGTAACATGAAACAGATACAGTTTTCTACCTTACATTTTAAGAAAAATTATTTATGCACGTATATTCGGATTAGGAAGATTTTCACTAAGAGAAAACAAATTGGAATATAAGACTCATATACGATTCAAATGAGAAATCCGGAAAGATTTGGTACATAAGTTCACGTCAAAAGCTTAGAAATATTTTAATAAAAATGCAAAAATAACTCAGAACGTGTCCTTTATATTCTTTGCGCTTAAAAAAATACAATGAACGCCAGTTTTACTACCGGAAGAGAAATCGGGTTGACATCGTATTTCAATAGCATTCAATAAACGCGGAAGATATGGTCGTGTTATTTAAAGTGTGTGTTCTGCTGCATATTTCCTCAAGAGCAGCTTGTTTAGAACTGTGTTTATGGGGAGAATGTATTTTTGCTTTCATGTGAAACTTGTCCAACACAACTTGAGGGGAATTAGAAAAGGAATAATTGGGTTTTAATAAAAGTTTTTTTTAATATGTTATCTGTCAGTTCACCACGATCAAATATACACCCGGATATGTTACTAAAGAAAAAATAAAAATGCATTCATGTTCGTTTTTCTACACTTCCCATTATCTGTTCGTATTCCAGGTTACTATTAATATACGTTCGAATACTTCAAATGCTTTTATCCGAAAGCAGCGGTGGTATGTACATCAATACCTAAACCTTCCATTAATATGAATTGCGTAAGTTTCACTCTGCTTTTCGTCTTGATTTCGAATTCGGTAGCAGAACCTGAGTATACTACACCGGGTGGTATACTGAACACAAACTGTCATAAAGGCTGCACTGAAGTCGTTGTCCATGAATCTAACTGCAGTAAGTAAAATATCTTTTTAAAGTTCTATCAGCTACTGATGTCTAAATATGTAGCATTCCCAATTATTTCCTTAAATTTATTGATTCAGATAATGAATAATGGACATTGCCTTCTTCTGAAAATGAAAATAAAAAAATTAATTATTAAAAAAAAAAAATCTGAAAGCTTTCAGATTTTACATTACGCCTAAAGTGGTATTTTTTATCGTTCTGTGTGTTACCTTTATTTATTAAATATCATGTTCTTCGCACTTAAACCATAAAATTTAATTCAAGAGCAATATCACAAAATAATCTTAAAATGAGCATATCCTTTAGAATTTCCGGTACACATCTCGCGCGCTGAGGATAAAAATGTTTTTTTCTTTTCGTACAGTGTTGCCATTCTGCGCTTTGTAATCGTTGAGTTTCTTGATCAAAAATTCTTTAATGTCTGACAACATAGGAAATAGATAACGAAACAAATTCCAAATTTAGGCTTCCCATATTCGCTGGAGGATTACGTTATTCAAAATTGGATGGCTCTAAGTACCGTTGTATTATCACAAGGCGAGAAACATAGATACATTTATGCAGATTCTTCATTATTTAATTTCTTTAAATATAATACAGGGCCTGTATTATTTGGTGGCAACAGTTTGAAAAGTGAATCCATGCAGAAAGTGAATCGTTTCTTTTTCCAGCCGTAGAGTGTTGCCATTGCTCCCTTTGAAATCGTTTAATTTGTTAATCAAAAATTCTTTGAAGTGTTACAAAATATAAAATCGATAATAAAATAAATTTAAAGTCAAATTTGGGCTTCCACATGCGCATATTCTATGGAAGATTACGTTATTCAAATTTTGATGTTTCTAGGTACCGTTGTTTGATCGCAATGCGAGAAACATAAATACATTTATGCCGATTCTTCCTTATTTGATGTCTTTAAATTTAATACAGGGCGATAATATTTGGTGGCAGCATTTGAAAAGTGTAACAACGCAGAAAGTGAATCGACGTAAAATACGAAAACGAAATTAACAGCCCTTCTGGGCTAACGCCCTTTTGGCTAAAAAATATCTGAAAGATTTCAGATTTTAACGATTGCCCAAAAAGATTTATTGAGCTCGCAGTCTACCAGTTTGCTGTTATACTCACTCCTACTAACCCCTCTTTACTTTATTATTATTATTTAACATGATTTTCTTTGAACTTACGCTATATACTACAAGTCAGCAGCAAAATTACGAAAATTTTAAAAGCAGTGTACCAGTATATGTTTAGAATTCCTGACGTAACTTTAAGTGTTGCCATGCATTTTTCTGTTTATATCATCATATCAGTGTTCAGTTTTCTTACTAAGATGGCTTTACGAGCCTCCCCTTTTTTTTTAATTATTATTATTATTATTATTATTATCGTTTTTATTTATTAAATATCACGTTCATGGCGCTTAAGCCATATAAAATTCGATTCAACAAATTCACAAAATATTTAAAAACAGCGTATCTGTAGAATTTCCTTTTGACAGTCTCGCGAGCTTGGAGATAGAAATGTTTCTTTCGGTGTAGTTTCCGTTGCTCGCTTTCAAATCGTTGAGTTTGTTAATCAAAAATTTGTTAATGTTTTACAATAAATGAAATAGATAATAAAACAAATTCGAAATTCAAAATTCGGGCTTCCAGGTGCCCATGTTCGGATGGAGGACTACGTTATTCAAAATATGATGGCTCTGTGTATCGTTGTTTTTTCACTATGCAAGAAACACACATTATTTAATTTTTTTCATTATTTAATTTCTTTAAAGTGTAACATTGGAGGCAACAATTTGAAAAGCGAGACGCCGTTTATAATGATTTAATGCAAAAGCCAGTTTCGAGACTAATGTCCTTTTTCGGATAACAATCAATGTTTCTAGGAAATTTGTTTTAAAAGATATCCCCCGTTTAGGGAAGCAGCTGTATTTTTTAAATATCAAATATGATTAATTAGAATAAAGAAAAAGTATCACATTTTAATTTTTTATATCTCACAAAAAAAAGTCTAGAATATTGCCGGATTTCTTTGCTTTTTGAAGAACAGACGATTTCTTTTTAATAACTTCTCAGTCTGTCTAGAGTAACAAAACTGGTTGTAGCTAAAAGTTTTCTGGAGTGTTGAAAAGTGCAAATTTATAACAAATATATCTTAAGTTACTTTTAATCAGTACTTTTGCAATAGCTTGTACGCATGAAATCATTAATTTATATTCATCAGTAAGCATGAAATCATTAATTTATATTCATCAGTAACCATGAAATCATTAATTTATATTCATCAGTAACCATGAAATCATTAATTTATATTCATCAGTAAGCATGAAATCATTAATTTATACCCACTTAAAAAATATTTTAAAAAATCAAAGGGCTTTTCCATAGAAAGTATTTTTTCAAAACGCACTACAGTAAAATCCTGATTATCCGAACTCATTGGAGTAAAGCAGTTTTGATAATAACATTAATTTTCGATACATTTAGAAGAAACGAATTTCAAACTTTCCGTATTAAGCACATTAATTTACTAAAAACATATAAAAACAACATATTATCTGCAATTATTGAAGAAGAAAATAATATAGATACAGCAGGACTCAAAACGGCAACATTTTGTTTCTGCAATTTAGATACAGTACTGGCAGGATGATTAAATATTCAGTTTGAGGTAGTGCAAGATTATTTTATATTTTAAAGAAAATCTCTGATGTGTTCTTTTTGAATAGTTTCTTCACTCTCAGATCGAAATTGTTCTCGGATCATCAATGCACTTACGATTCGGTTTGCAAACAAAGGTTTCCCTACGCTACACAACTCGGTTTTGCGCTATAAAAATGAAATCATCAAACCTCGATTCCACACGATAATTTTGTCAACAGATGGCGCCACCACAGTGCTATGATCATTGTTTATCCTATAAAATATGCTTTGATTATTCATAAAAAATGGGGGGGGGGGAATTCTAAAAAGAGTTAGAAGTGACTAATTGTTGGATTGTGATTAGGAAAGTAATCAGTATTAATTCGACTCAGTTATCAGTTATACGAATATTGGGATTTTGCTACAATAGTTTTAAAAAATCATAGAATACGGTGAACGACAATTTGTAGAACGCCGAAGTAAGCCCTAAGAACGAAATACTCTGTATTCATTCTTTTCAGTTTCGGGCTGTTTTGAAAGTAGATGAAAAATACGGTCTATTAAAACGTGAAAAAGATATTTTAGGTATGAACAAATAAGCAAATAAACACATTGCCTATTGCGTAAAATTAGTAATTTGTAGGAATTCTGACGAAATTAAGAACATAACTAAAAGACTATGGTAACCTCCCGACAAGATGTGTCAGTTAGTTAATTTTATCCACGGCAGAACGTAATTTAATTGCACGCAACCCTAAATATATAAGCAATATTAAATCATCCGTCAAAAGTAAATTGCTCAGTCTGGAAAATAAATCAGGTGTATAGCCATTTATTTTCGGTTTCACATTGTATTGCCCGATCGATGCGAACAAAACAAATAGCAGGTACACCGCGAAGTAAGAATGAAGCATAGTGATAGGAAGGAACAGTGAGAAGTCTGGTTTGGTTTGTTTAACTATGGCAAAGCACACAGAGGCTATCTGCTTAAGGGAATAGATGCCTTTATGGAGAACTTTCTAACGGAAAGTGGCTCGTGCACACGTTACACATGACGAAAACCATGAAAACGACCATACAGCCAGCCCATTCGCTTGGAATTGAACCCAGGTCGAAACTACCAGAGTTCCACGACTACTTGGCCATTAGGTGGACAAACAGTGAGAAGAAAAGGATGCACGCGTTTATTCGACGCAGAGAAATAGAACTTCTTAATGCTAATTTAATTTACACAGTAAGTGCTCTTATTCTGTAGATCAAACTGCTTGATAATACATATATATTGTCAATAGTGTAATTTCGTTAGTTATAATATGCATTACTTCTCTTTCACTTACATTTAGTTGTTGCCTGATTATTTGTGATAGTATATTAACCATGGACGTCCATTCCTGTATTACTCTGGTTAAAAGAGGCTAAAACTAGAGGGAAAACACCTAAATAACTATTACTTATCCTTCTACTTCATTTAAGCCAAACTTATAATTCACTGTTCACAATCAAATTTCTTTATGATGAATGTGATTAACTGTTCACATTTATACATTATAAATTATTTCTGACACTGTATTTTTCCCATTATGTTCAAGTGTTATCGTTTCTCTTCTATTTCAATACTTCCAGTGTTTGCTATAGGAAGTCATTCGCACTTTATGGAAATAATTTTGATAGTTAATTTTTATGCACAGAAGGCGGATTTCTGCGGCAATTTGCTGATAGCCTTAGTTCTCGGTTCTAGCTCGAATTTTCTGTGAAAGTGAACTTTTTCTTAACACAGCCATGTCAGTTTTATCTCATTCCTCTTGGGTCGTTTCCCAAAGCACACTCTTTTTCAAAAAAAAAAAAAAAAAAAAAATCGAAACAACATGAAGGAAGTGGTTGTTTTTGATGAAAATGAATATGTGTATAGTTCATACATAGATAATAAAATGATTAAAAAAATCAAGGTTCACGGCTCACAATCACCGATTGAATGTTCAAATCAGTAGTTGGTCGAACCGTCCCTGGCGGCAATGCGTGCTTGAATTCGTCGAGTCAATGAGTGGTAGAAGTTCCTAATGTCATCCTGCGACACATTCTGCCAGACATTCATCAGTTGTCGCTCCAGATCTGTGATATTTTGTGATGCCCGAATCTGGCGGTTTACCATATCCCAGACATGCTCGATTGGGGAAAGGTCTGGTGACCTTGCTGACTAAGGAAGAGCATCAACCGCACGGAGACAGTCCAGAGATATGCGAGCGACATTCTGCAATTTCGGTCTTTCACAGTAACATATATTCAGCGTTCTTCGATGCCTTTTCTTAAAGCTAGTTTTAATAAACCGAAAGTGTAAAGTTCATACAAGAAGCGTCAGATGATTTTATAGGCATTTCTTTTAATGGGATACATTTTATGCCTGTTTCTAATTCGTTCTTTGCTAAATTAGCGGCAACTGGCTTAGAAGTGAGACTGGAGGTTTTGTTCATATGAAGGTCAACTATACTGATGTGTTTGTTTATAAGGTGGGAATTACATCTTCAAAAATTAATAGTCCTTCTGGGAAAATTACCCCTCTGGACTAAAAAGGATAGATGATTATATTGAAAATGATAGATTTTTATCTCAAAATGCTAATGAGAAAATTTAAATGGAAAACTTTTATCTCAAAATGGTAATGAGAAAATTTAAATGGAAAATTTGTTCCGTAAAGTGCGGAGGACCTGTAATTGTTTAAGAAAATTTGTTTGTCATAGTGATTTTCTGACATAATACTCCACGTATGTGGTTGTCAGTAGCTACTTTGTTGTTAAAAGTATCTGCTTCATAGTACAGAGTAAAATATATTTTAATTCTTCAAATATCAATTCCGTACTAAAACGTACTACAACAATTTTCTCTTTCTTGTAATTAAATGCTTGTTAATTATTTTTACTGGTAAATATTCTAATAGGTAGGTACCGTTCTTTTATCATAATGCGAGAAACATACATACGTTTATGCAGATTCTTCATTATTTAATTTCTTCAAATATAATACAGGACGGTAACATTTGGTGGCAACAGTTTGAAAAGTGAAACAGCCTTTTAAAGATTTCAACGCAAAATGCCAAAGCGAAAGCAATAGTCCCTCACAGACAAAGCCCTTTTGGAGTAAAAATTCATATAAAAGTTAAGATTAACTTAAATTGACTCCCTAACTATGTATATTCACTTGTAATTCTTATTTTTTTTTTTTTTTTTTTTTTCCCACAGGTCCAGTTTGCAACATTAAGCGTTACGAACGTTGCGTCCTGGATCCTCGAACACCAGAACCCACATGTGGCTCTCAAAATGTGTCTTCTGCAATTCCATCGGAACTGAAACGTCCTTATGTTTGTCGCTGTCATCCTTGTCTTTACAGAGACAAGAATGAAATTTGTGTTCCGCAGTGCCCAGAAGCTGAAGGTGAAGCTTGAGTTCTGCAAACCTTCATAAAGGAACTTCTGCGAAAGATTTTGTATTATCTTATTTCGAAGCGCTTACAAATAAAATTGATTTACTTAAATGATTTCTTTCTGTACCCTTATTTTAAAATCTTTTCCTGAACCGATTTTTTTATGCTTTATTTTCATGTACTTCAATTTTTTTTCCCTAATTTTACTTCTTAACGTCTTCCTTACTTTCTTACTTCTTTCTTGACTCTTCACTTTACTTCCTATTTTGCATAGTAAAAGAAAGAAAAAGGTATCTTTTAATTAAGGTTTTTGTTTGAGTCTTTAGTTTAGTGTGAGTTTAAATAATAATTAAGAGATATTGTAATAAGTAATACTTTCACTGGGTAAATTTTAGAAGCTTTTGGTGAAAAATATCTCTTGGAAAATAGTTACAAAGTTTTAGTAGGCATACGTTTCGAATTTTTCTTGCCACTTGCACTAAATGTTGTCTTTGCACTATATGTTTGGTTCGAGAGCCAGAAATTACACTGGTTTCCAAAAATTAAGAAAAAAGCACAAAATGAGCGATAATTCGTTCAAAAATAAAGCAATTCGTATAAAATTTGAATATGTTATCAAATAAGAATTGCTGTAAACTGCAGTAGGCAAATTATTGACGCTTCAATCGAAATACGTCATCTTCGAGGAGCATATAATTGCAGGTTTAAGAGCAAGCCTACAAATTTCGCTGTGATACCGAAATAAGATAATCAGTTTGTAACAATGATCTTCAGGCATCATTTGCCCGAAGAACTGCGACGGAGAGCTATTGGAAGACTAGAGGCAGGACAAAGTCAGACAGAAGTGGCCAGATGGCTAAATATGAATCCTTCTGCGGTTAGCAGAATTTGCCAACAATTTCTAACTACGATTCGGCATTCAGGAGGTTCGGACAAGAAACACCAATCGCTTAAGGGACAGCTGAGGACCGATATTTGCTGTTATGCACTCTAAGGAACAGAACCACAACTTCGACTCGACTCAGATCCTCCCTTGCTGCAGCCACTGGAAGGTTGGTGTCAACGTCAGAAGGCTTCAGGCAGGAGGTCTAAGCGAGGCCACCAGCTATTTGCGTGCGTACGTTATGTCTTAGAAGGGAACTTTTGAGATGTGCACGTCATCATGTCCACCGGGCAGCTGATCAACGGAGGGCTGTTCTCTTTACTGATGTATCCAGGATTAGCCTCCAAAGCGATAGTAGGCGTTATTTGATTTCGAGAGAACCTGGAACCAGTTATCATCCATCAAACATCCGAGAAAGAGATGCATATGGAGAAGGCAGTGTCTGTGTTTAGGGCGGTATCTGTTTGGGTGGACGCACAGACCTCCATGTCTTTCCACGTAGAATCGTGAATGCGCAGGATTATAGAGATGACATTCTTGATGCTTATGGCAGGACAATAGGTGATAATTTCCTGCTGCAGGGAAATAAAGCTAGACCACACAGTGCTTACATCGTGGATAATTATCTTCAACCGCAAAGAGTTCAGCGAGTGGAGTGACCAGCTCGATCACCGGACCTGAATCCTATTGAGCATGTTTGAGATGCTTTAGGAAGACACATAGCTGCTCTCAATCGTCCTCTTCAGACCCTTATCACGCTTTGCAAGAGCAATGGCTCTTAGTTCCGTAGGAACTGATAGACCACATAATTGACAGCATCGCACATCGCTGTATGTGTTGTATTGCTTCTAGCGAAGATCATACTCTATATTGAAGGTAATTTTCCTATATCACCTCTTTACACTATTTTGAATGTTACCTGTATCTCTTAGAAGATAAATGAAACATGAATATGAAATATAAGAACTTTTTCATTTCCCCGGCGCAAATCTCGCCAAGCACACTTTGTTGGCGACAGCATACAGTATACACAAAAAAATTTTAATGAATGTTAGTTCTAAGAATTATTTATTTTGAAAGCATAAACATTTTAATCTCATTTAAAATTTCGTAAACAAGCCGATAAATAAAGACCAATTTGTAAAAACACATTAATTTAAGAATTTACTATGTTTTCATGGTTCAACATCCTGATTCACCGGTTCATATCATGTGACTCGAAGCGATCTCATCTCACGTAAACTACGCAACAAAAATCTAATTCTCTCAGATTTTATCTACGTTAATTTCAAGTTAAGTATTAAATTAAATCTTATGGAATACAAGTTTAAATGCAAGAATTATTTCAATTCGTACGAATAGCTTACACAGAAATTATATAAAAACCACGATGCTTTACTTCACTAGAATATTCTAATTAGAATTGATGAATTTAACTCTTGACTTCGCTTTTTCTATATTTTCGTCTTCGAGTGAACGGTGTGATTGCATCCTAATTTACTTAATTACAGCGTAAGCCTTTAGGGCATAAAGGCATACTTTTATAAGCCCTTAAGGCATAAAATTGAACTATCTTGTATGTCAGTAATGAAAGAAGCAATCAATCCGATAAGAAATGGCTGCTACTTGTTTCGAAAATGAGGCGTAATAGGGTACCAGCGAGGATATTACATTTGGCATCGGTTGTACCATTTTTTTGCGACTATATCGCTTACGCCAGCAAAATGGAAAAGTACCTGCAAAAGTTACTTATCGAATGCAGATCTGCGGTTATCTTGACTCGACATTTGATTTACAGACTGTCGTATAGTCAATGTTTACCTAATTGGAAAAACATTATCAGCATACCCTAAAAAAAAATGAAAAATTCAATTTAAAACACAAAAATGATGATTAAAAATACAAGTTACAATTAATATAATAGCAGAAATTAAAAATACAAGAACGATATATTAAACTTTGCTCGTAATATACGATACAATTCTGTTGTTATCCCCATGTATACAGAGATTTGTTTTCGCTTAAAAGAATCAGGGAATTCCACAAACTTTGGATCGCGCCCAACTTCGGCATTGCTCACTGTCTGAGCATTAGCCATGATCACAATTTCCCTAGAACAGTTGCAACTTCAACATATACTCAAATATTAATTCAGAAGTCAAACAACAAAAATCAGGATTATATTTTGTTGTTGTTGTTGTTTGACTTCTGAATTAATATTTGTTCGGCGTGTTATTGTATCTTAATATACTCAAATGTAATGAAAATAAAAAGAGGGTTCGTGTTTTTAACCTTTTAAAAACAGACTATTTTAAAAATAACAGAAAGCAATCAGAAACAGAAAACAAATGACCGAGAGAAAAATATCAGGCAACTCCACTGATTCAAGTTATTAGGAAAGTAACGATTTCAGAAATGACTTAATGACGAAAATAATGCCCGAACAAGAACGGTCAGATAAGACAAATTGAGTAACAACTCCAAAACACTGCACCTTTCGCTATCTTCAATGCCTCTCTTTATCTTAAAAAAAGAAAAAGAAAAAAGGGGGGGTGACAGAAAGCTTTCAGATTTTACTACATTTATTTATTAAATATCATGTTCTTCGTATTCAAACCATAAAATTCAATTCAACAGCAATATTGCAAAATAGTTTTTAAATGAACATATCTTTAGAATTTCTGATGCCCAGTCTCTCGCCCTGGAGATAAAAATGTACTTTTTTTTTGTACAGTGTTGCCTTTCCTCGTTTTGTAATCGTTGAGTTTCTTATTCAAAAATTCTTTAATATTTGACAAAATATGAAATAGATAAAAACAAATTCCAAATTAGAGCTTCCAGATGCTCATATTCGGTGGAGTTACTCAAAATTGGATGTCTCTAGGTACCGTTGTTTTATCACAGTGCGAGAAACATATATACATTTATGCAGATTCTTCATTACTTAATTATTTAAACATAACACAGAGCGATAATATTTGGTGGCAACAATTTGAAAAGTGAAACGATCATTTAAAGTTTTCGATGCAAAATTCCAAAACGAAGTTATTAGCCCTTTTGGGCTTACGCCTTTGGGCTAAAATTATACATAATAATGCTTTGTATAATAGTGTAATATTAATGATGCATAATGAATAATGATTTTTTTTCGTACAGTGTTGACATTGCTCGCTTTGAAATCCTTTGAGTTTCTTAATCAAAAACTCATAAATGCTTTACAAAATATGAAATAGATAATGAAACAAATATTCCAAATTTGGATTTCTATAGGTACCCTTGTTTTTTCAAAATGCGAGAAACATATATTTATGCAGATTCTTCGTTATTTAATTTCTTTAAATATAATACAGGGCTCTAATATTTGGTGGCAACAATTTAAAAAGTAATTCGCCGTTTGTAGCGAATCAAAGCAAAATGCCAAAACAAAATGGGCTTTCTGGGCAAACTGCCCCTTTGGACTAAAAAAAGTATCTCGAGCAGTAGCATTGTAAACCTTACATTTCAACCTAGTTAAAATAAAATTTAAATTTTGTTCAAGCAGGAAGCTATAGCATAACTGTTTCTAGAAAGAGGCGTAGACAATATTACGTCATAAAAAGCCTACGAGAAGTAAACAACGTATTGCTTCATGCAGCATCTTTTATGACTGAGCCCAAAATGAATTACTCGGCCGCCTATGGGCAAGTTAAAATCGCCCACTTCGCCATCAGCCGAGTTCAGCTTGGTCTCTACTAAGGCCAAGAAGTGGTGGTGTCATGCCTTCTCCGACAATATATATTCAAATATAACAAATTTGAAAATCATTTCGTCACCCTTAAATTTGGCCGCCCACGTACTGTGCACCATCTTGCCACCCGCTATGATCGGCCTTGGCAAGAAGAGCGATTTAAGTTACCATAACATTAATGAGCACTATCTCGCATTTTTGCATAAAAATTGCTTTTGACGAAAAGAAAACGGTGTGAAAATTATGTCTATAGCCCAACGGCGCTTTTCGATTGGATTCCGAATTTTCATTTATATTAAGGGAACTTTAAATCAATCAAGATTATATTGTCCTTAGGGTAATGCTCTTACGCAAAAATGACTGATTCGCTCTAGTTAGAAGGTGGTTGAGGCATATATTAAATGGAAACCAAACTATAATATTTAACTTAAAATAAATGGTTAAGCAATAAATGCTAATATGAAGAAAAAGATAATAATATTTTTTTGAGTTTTTAGTCCAAAGGGATTTGAATCCCGAAGGACTATTAGTTTCGTTTTGGCATTTTGCGTCGGACGGATAAATGTCGGTTCACTTTTCAAACTGTTGCCATAAAATGTTAGAGTCCTGCATTATATTTGAAGAAATTAAATAATGAAAATCTGCGTAAATGTATGTATATTTCTCACATTGTCATAAAATAACGGTACATAGAGTCATCGAATTTTGAATAACGTAATCCTCCAACGAATATGAGCATGTGGAAGACCAAATTTGAAATTTGAAATTTGTTTTATGATCGATTTCCTATTTTTTAAAACTTTGACGAATTTTTGATTAACAAACTCAAGGATTTCAAAGCGAGCAATGGCAACGTGTGTGCAGAAAAAACATTTTTATCTCCAGCGCGTGAGTCTCTGTATCGGAAATTCTAAAGATATGCTCGTTTTAAAACTATTTTGCGATATTGCTGTTGCACTGGATCTTATGGTTTAAGTGCGAGGAACATGATATTTAATAAAGAAAGGTAACACACAAAATGTTAAAAAACGCCCCTTTGGACGTAATTTAAAATCTGAAACATTTCAGATTTTTTTTTCCTTTCCTTTTTCACTATTTAATAATTATGTGCTTGTAACTGTAATGAGCAAAGTATGAGCCCTGTCGTAATTGCAATGAGCTAAAGTAAGAGCCAAAAAGTCGTCAGCATGACTTTTAAATTACTTCTTAATGGCAACAATGTTGATTTGTTGTAAACATGGCGACGTATGTAAGCGAAAAGTTTAAGTCTGTGTTTACCAATACCTGTTGCATGATTGTTGTTTTTTTTAATTATTTTGTATGCAGTATGCACAGTTAAATAAGAATGTATTAGTTATCGTGCAGGTAAACAAATTTAAACATTTAAATCTGTCTGTCATAGAAAATCCATATTAATTATTTGTCTGCAATTAAATAAAATTGTATTCCAGTTTCATTAGAACTTGATTTGCGCGATAGTTTATCTCTCAGACGGTGCTGTTTTGATATATATTTTTGTAGTTTAAACTCTTTTCATTTAAACATTTAAATCCTATTAGCATATTATTATTATTTTTTTTTTTTTTTGTGATAGATAGTTTTTTATGAAAATGATAAGCTGTAAATCAATCAATGTAGGTATCTTCTTACTGGGACTGCTTACAAATAATGTAACGTCATTAATCAATACCATTTAAACAGATGATGACAATGTGCAGGATCTATCCAGTATTTATTATATTGAATAAAAATATAGGATACATGCTTATATATGTACTATCTTTAATCATTTTGAGGTTTTATTTAATGAATTCTCAGTAGAAATAAAAGCTATAATTTTGGAATTTTTCACTGTTTTGGGGATTTTAATTTTTAAAAGTTAATATCAAAATGTTGATGTATATTTTTTTATTATGTTCATCCACCAGTGCAATTTTGTGGGTTTTACATTTTTATTTGATAGTTTTTTGCGTTTATTCAAACATATAACCTGTCCACTCGTTTTCCTTCACTCTGTCACTCTTTTTAAATTTCTAAATACAACTCTAAGGTTTGCAAAAATTACTTTGACCAATTGTTTAATATATTATCAGACTTATGGCAATCATTGATTTCATATATTTGCTGAAATGAAATTATTAGACAATTTTACATTCTTTTGTAATTGTAAAATCCTATTGTAAGTATTTGTCTGCTTTTCAGAATTATATATAAAAGTTTAATGATTTCGTAACAGAATTACAATTTTGTGATTTTTCATATTTTATCAAAATTTTGTTATTTATCATTGTTTTGAGCCTGGATTTATTAAGAAAGTGATGTAGTTTCTTTCTTTTTTTTTTTTCTTTTTTTTTTTTTTATGCAAATGGACATTGATCGGTTTTGGCAGAATAAGCTAGGATAATTATTTATTTGAAGTTTATCATCCTTACAGATTGCAAAAAGTTACAATAGAGTGCTTTAATGATAATTTTTTCACAAATCTATTTTTAAAACAAGAAAAGAAAAGAGTTTTTTTTTTCTTTTTCTTTTTAAGAATATATATATGTTTTATAATTTTCAGATTAAGCTTTTAATCTTTAACTTCTACAAGTAATCCTACATGGCCCATTTTGTTTTAGAAAACTTGATTATATTTGTAAAATTAAAAATAATTAAACGTAAATCTAATAAACAATTTTTTTCAAAAATTTTGTGTATAATCTTAATCTAATTATTACCTTATAAGTTACTCATGTGCAATTATCTGTATTATGATTATGTTGTGTACTGTATATTATGCAGAAAATTATAAGGGGATCAATGAAGAAAACCATTTGTTTAAAAGGGATGATGCCATGTAAAAAAGAAAATTCTGGTTTAAAGCCAAACATCGTAATTTTCACTGCGTTCCTATGTCAAACAGAAATGGAACAGTAGTTTTGTTTAAATAGACATTCTCTAGATATGCATTTTTTCTTTTAGGAAATGCATTGCCATAATAAAATGCTTTGTCTTTATATATACTGTATGTGTCTTTTGAAAATACATTACGCATAAAATTTTAGTTATTTATACATATATTTTTTTAACTGACAAAGTATGTAACTTTGATTACTTATTAAAAAATAAATTTAACATTTATTGTATGTATGTGACTGCCTCGTTGAGTCATTATCATGAGAACTCAGAAATAAAATATTATTCAGAAATCAGTTTCATCAGTTATCAAATAGCAGCATAATTATGCTTTTTCAAGTGTGATTGTTAACTGCATCTTTTACCTAAGTATGTAAGTATGCTTGAGAGGAAAATTTTAGATATTTTTGTTTGTTTCCTTGAATGTCAAGGAAATAGTCATTTTAAAAACAGAGGAAAATAATGATTTGGAAATGAGAATTTGATAAAGTTGATACAGTCAAAAGTTGTTAATCCGGACACGTTGGGACTTCGGCGATCCCGGATTATAGATCATCAGTTTAAATCTGGTAAGATGGCATGCAGAAATTATAAAATTAAAATTATGAAACCATAATTTATGAAATAAAGAACAATTATGATCTAAAAAATATCAAAATTTACAAAAAAAAAAAAGCTTAATATTTATTTGTTTACTTTACTTTCTTCGCTATCGGAAGCAAATTATAATGATGAGGAATTAGATTTAAATCATATCAATACGAAGTCCATTGAGATGAAATACTACATTTAGTAAGGAATTATAAGCCAATAAAATAAAAACATCTGCCTGAAGATAAGGATAGTGCTGAACAGATCAACTTCATTCATTGCGCACCGTGGCGTCCCCCCCGCCGCAGAACAGCGTGAAATTGATAAACAGATTTCGGAATGGTTAAATAAAAAGGATATGCCTTTATCCTTTTTTTGCAGCAATTCCACGTTTTGTTAATGGACTTCGAAACATACTTTCGCTGGTAGATCCTTACATTAGTAAATATATATCGGAAATTCTATTTGACATATCAAAGTTCAGCTACTTTATAAAATTGCTCTAAAGTCTGCAAAAAAAATAAGGCGATCCAATTCGAAGATTAAGGAACAATGCAAATTGCAATTAACTGAATAGATAATTTAGCTTAGCTTATACCGTCCATTATACATTAAACACGCATGCGTAAACGTATTTTGGGCATGCGCACACGCATATTCGCAGCCGTAAAGGTCTTACGCGCATGCGCAGAAAGTTTGTAGCTTTGAGGTACGGATTATAGATCATTCCAGATTGTGGGTGTCCGAATTAATGACTTTTGACTGTATTTTTCTCTTCTCTGCCTAAATTCCCTGTCCTTTAAAGGTGTATATTGAACACAAACTTGTTTCTATGAAAAAAAAATCTGTCTTGAAACCATTCCTATGTATACTAATAATCAAGCCACTAGATCATAAGGTATATTTTTAGACCAGGTTGAAGCCTTACTTCTTTTTACCAACTGCTTATATATTTAAAGTTATGATAGTTAATTAAAATATTTAATTCTTCTCACCATATGTATAAATTAAATTATTGATGCTGCCATTAATAAATTTTTATTCAGATATGGATTTTCCTATATGCTCTGGTTGTAATAGAAATATTGAAGATGAAGAATGTATTCAAGCGTGTGATAAAGATTGGCACAGGTCTTGTTTTAAGTGAGTTTGTGTCCTATCTTGTAGGTTTAAAAATAATATCTTGTAAAAACTTATTTATTGAATGCAATAAATTTTTATGTGCTTTAGCTATGAATGGCAATTAAAGTTGGAAGTTTCAAATTTCAGGTGCTCACTGTGTCAGCAGCAAATGATAGGAACATTTTTTGAGAAAGATGGCCTTGTGTTTTGTGCAAAAGATTATTGGAAAGAATTTGGAGAACTTTGTCATAACTGTCATGAGATAATATCTGGGCCTGTAATGGTAATGATTTTTAGTGGTATTTTACATATTTTGTCAAAATATGATACTAAATATATATTTTTTCTTTAGCTTGTGTTTAAATAATGCATTTTTGGTACTGAGATACAAGTTTTGAAAATTCTTAAATTATACATCTTTAGGTTGCTGGAGATCATAAATTTCATCCAGAGTGTTTCAAATGTGATAATTGTAACAGTTATATTGGCGATGGTGAGTCATTTGCATTGGTAGAAAGGTCAAGATTGTATTGGTAAGTATTCTGATGCTGTTATTAGTCTTCATGAAACTGTACCTTAGATTATTTTTTTAAGTATTTGGTGTTAATCAAATATGCATGAACATATCAATAAATATCACGTATTTGTTATGAATGTATGAATTATACTAAATAAAGCATAGCTGGTCATATTTTGTATATTTCAGGTCCACTTTTTTTCTTTTAATGTATTGTGAGCTATTTGTTAAAATATTGACATTTAACACATTCAAATTTTTGTCTAGCATACTAATAAGTGGAAATACTATTAATAAAATATCTTGTTGGTATTAGACCAACATGATATGTTCTTCGTAATTTTGTTAATTAAAATTAGCCACATAAAAAATTATGTAATTAATGGGAAGTCTCTATCTGCATGTTTCCAATCAAGTATTCACAGTTTGGGGTCAAATCTTTTAACCTTCTGAGTGACACGGATTTTTGGATCTGCTTATGAAAATGTGCACTGAAACTGTATTTAATAGCTAAGTTTATATATATATATATACCAAGAGGCAAAAAAATCTCATGACTGGATAAAGGCAGTTATGCCATTTAGAGGGTTAAATATGGAGCAGATACATGGGGTTATTGGCTATTAGGGAAAAGGGTACTTTTGCGTTTTGCCGGCGCAAACGATAAAGTCGCCAATAATGGTACAACTGATGCCAAATGGAATATCTTCACTGGTAACCTTTTCCGCTTCATTTTCAAAACAAGTTGCAGCCATTTCTTATCAGATTGATTGTTTCTTTTAATACTGGCATACAATTACATAGAATTTTTACCAAGTTAATTAAATTTTGTGCCCTAGGACCATTACATTAATTAAGTCAATTAGGATGCAATCACACCACTCACCCAAAGGCAAAATCGAGGGTTTAATTCATCATTTCTAATGAGAACTAGCGAAGTAAAGCAATGTGGTTTACTAATTCTGAGTAAGCTTCGGACGAATTGAAATATTCGGCATTTAAATTATTTCTTTGCAGTTCTTGCAGTATGATTAAATTTGCTTGAAATTAATGTAATCTAGGATTCTTTTTAGCAAGTTTAATGGGTTTACACGACCGAAAAAGGGTGAAGAAAATAAATTTTAAATATGTCTTCCAAATTATTTCTTATCCACTATCAGTTCAATGTTCCTTCTAACCTTCTTCGGGAACATGCAAGGACCTGACTCGGAACAGAGAGCTTACTAAAGCTATGTTCACTAATACTGTGGGTAAGTAGACAGGATACACAACGAAGGGTATACAAAACCCTTTATTTTTCTCTATTTACAATAACTTCCGTACTTCGGAATACAATACAATGACCCGCTACTTGGGGTCTAACGTAAAATATAAAAATAAAACTAAACTCTAATTTAACTTTAGAATAATAAACGTGGAAGATTGGCCTTATATTAACAGGAAGCCGTATGTAGTACAGAGAACTGTGAACACTACAATACGTTTTAAATTTATCAAGAGGATTAAAACCTCTGGCCTGGAAGGCAACAGCAACTGCGTAACTTCTAAGGTAAGCGGCCTGCTTCGACTCACTGCTTCCTCTCTCTCGCTTGGCAAAAAGCCACAACTTAAATACTTGGCGTTCGCCAGACAAACTTTGCATAAAACCTTAACGCTTATAATTCTGGCCGGAAGTAGAAAATAAGAAGTGATAGTAAAGATTTAAAATAAAATAAACGTTAGTAAAACTTAAGATCCTTACATACTTCCCGCCAGAGTTAATTAGTTTGAAACTGAGGTCTAAAACGACCTTGTTGAAAACTTTTAGCTCTAGAATCTAACGCGAGGCCAATCTTTTACAAACATAACTTCGCTAGAAACTAGAAAATTTAAAAGAAAGAAATTTGTTTTTACAATAGCAGCTCCCAGGATAACAATTTTTTTTTCATCTGTACTGCATCTAAACAGGAGCTTTTATTCAATTCTGGTTCCTTCCAGAGATCTGGAAGGAAGGAAAACTAGTTTAATGAAATGTTACACAATGAAATGGCAAAGTAACATATAGAATTATACTTTCTCTTAACATTCTTATTTCATTCATGACTATTTTAATTATCTCTCCCCGTGCTCTCTCTGACATGTGTTGTAAAAGAACACCAAACACGAATGTGTTTCTGTCTACGTGTGCCACACTTCCTCCTACAATCAAAACACTAACGTGTTAAAATTCAACATAACGAGACCTCTTAACACACCCTAATTTCAACTCTAAACCCTGAGGTACTATTCTAAAGTGGCTAACTCTAAAGTGTAGCGTCAGAGAGCCTAACTACATCATTCAACCTTTAACACATATTCACCATGATTTAATCTTTACAGTCACACGAATAACAAATTTTTAACATTACTTTCACTTTTACCATATCACGGTATTTCTTAACATTTAAAATAACAGAACATATCAACATGCCGTTAATTTTACACATTTGAAACATACATTAGTAGTACATTGTTAACTTCTATTCTTTTCAAAGCAAGTGCCAATTCTTTCTACATTGAAATATACTACATTTCAAAAAGTCTTTCAGACTAAAACTTCTTTCTTGCTAGAATGTTTTTAAATAAAATTTATACAATAACTTTTTACAATATTTAAGTTTTTACACAACGCTATTATA